ATTGCAGACAAGACTCCCATTTTCCACTTCTCCTTTGTCACCTTCCAATCAACTCCTCATTAACCAAAGCCTTGGATTCCCACAGGGAAAGGAAACCATTGGTGTGTTCCTGATAACACAAGTTTGGGTTTCTTGCATTAAAATGAAGATTCAAATTTGGGCACAGAGGATTTCTCCACGCTCCTATTTGCTCGTCACGAGATCTATTGGAACATGTATTTATAATCGGAAATATTTTAACAGCGTTCCAACAGACAGATTATATCCCAAAAAACAGATTATATTCCAACAGACAGATTATATCCCAACCAACAGATTACATTCCAACACACAGATTATATTCCAACAGACATGATCATATTCCTGTTTGCTTTGAGGTACCACCGAAAAAGGGTTTTTATTTGCAGCAGCCAAACGTTGTCTGGTGCAAAGCTGATTTTTTTTCTCTATCAGAAGGCACAAAACTAACAAGGCAAACCCAATATCTCACAGGCTAAATCAGGACAAGTTTTATCTGAACCAGCCCGGAAGTTTTCCGCAAAAATCCGAAGTGATAAAATCAAATTAAAACGGTACCTGTTGGCCCTCCCGGCCTTCCAGCTTCTAGAAAACGGGGAGGGTTTGGGATTATTGCATTAAACACGTGGGACAAATGGTGGAGAGGACCATCCCAAAGCCCCCAGCTCTCACCTTTATGCTCCCCCCGATGAGATCTGGTGGCTCTTCATCTGTTTCTAAGGCAACGTTGATGGAGGCGAAGGGGCGACTCGCCATCTGTTGCATCTCACGCAGGAGTTGCTGGTTGAACAGAGAGAAAAACACCATCAGCACATTGTCCCCCCACAAGAAGATGCAAAAGGGAGGAAAATGTCTCTCAAAGGAAAAAATAACCTCCCGGGGTCGTAATGGGTTTAAGATGCAGGTAAATGGGAAATATTCACGTTATACAAGTTATCGGGACAAGCTCGACGCGAAGCCTGAGGGAGGGAAAACGATCTGCCCGGGTCTCCATAAAGCAGATATTTTACTTTTTAAGCTGCTGTTTGTCATCACCTGCCCGATTCCCGCTCCGCAGGATTTGTGGGAATCATTTTAAAACTAAACAGCAGCGGTTTGTTAAGTGCTGTAGGAATGAATTTGCTATTTTTTTCTTTTTATGACAGCCCCAGCAAAACGCTGTCAGGCTGCTATTGAATAACCCTCTGCTTTTATTGTTTCCTCGCTGAATGCAGCAAATGTATCAAATGGCAAACATGTCCTTGTTGCAAAATGTTTTATTAAAATAACAAAAAAAAACCCCTTTTCCTGGATAAATCCCCTCGAGCCCTCACGACACGAGACATCTTTTTATTGTGCTCAGAAGCACTTTTAAGCATTACAATGCAGTTTCCCCCCCTTTTTTAACACACAGAAAATAGGCACTTTCTACACAGCTGGGCTGGGAGCAGCATTTCACTTTTAGCTGAGCTGTGGACAGGCTTCTTTTTGGCTTCAGTGATTGATCTTTAATAGCAACAGCACAGCCTGGGAGGGGATGGAGAAGCCAAAAATTCCCTGAAGCAAAGAGGTCCGATGGGAATCGATGGCTCTACTTAACAAGGGAAGAGGCCAACACTTTGTAGGGCATGTGAAAAACCAGTGCTCTCACCCTTAAGTGCAGAAACTGCCCAAACCACAGAGCTTTGCACATTTACCATCACTACTTATCCCCAGCAACACCAGTTATCCTCAATTTTTAAGCTGGGCTGAGGCACCACCAAACGCTCTCTGTAATTCCCACCATCACCACCCGCATTTCCCATCGATTCTGGGCAATTTGACACTCCTAAGTCCTGAACTGATCATTTCCAGCACTCAGAAAGTGCTAAAAAACCCACCACAAACTGCATCAAATATCCCCCACCCAGCACAGCAGAGGGTGAAGGGAAGGTGTCGTTATACAGCGACGTCGTTTGGCCAGAACGAATCCATGGAATCATGGAATGGTTTGGGTTGGAAGAGACCTTAAAGATCATCTTGTTCCACCCCCTGCCATGGGCAGAGACACCTTCCACTAGACCAGGTTGCTCCAAGACCCTTTCCAATCTGGCCTTGGACACTTCCAGGGATCCAGGGGCAGCCACAGCTTCTCTGCCCAACCTGGGACAGGGCCTCCCCACCCTCCCAGCCAGCAATTCCTTCTCAATATCCCATCTATCCCTGCCCTCTGGCAGTGGGAGGCCATTACCCCTTTTCCTGTCACTCCAGGCCCTCATAAATAGTTTCTCTCCATCTTTCTGGTAGCCCTTCAGGCACTGGAAGGCCACAATTAGTCACCCCAGAGCCTTCTCTTCTCCAGGCTGAACAATCCCAACTCTCCCAGCCTTTCCTCCCAGCAGAGCTGCTCCATCCCTCTGATCATCTTGGTCCCTCCTCTGGACTTGCTCCAACAGCTCCACGTCCTTCCTGTGCTATCAGGTAACGATAATTACATCACCATTTTCTTGACCTCATAAACAGAATCCCAGGATGGGTCAGGCTGGGAGGGCCCACAGTGGGTCATCTGGTCCCACCTCCCTGCTCCAGCAGGGCCATCCCAGAGCACACGGCACGGGATTGTGTCCACACAGTTCTGGGACATCTCCAGTGAGGAGACTCCACACCCTCTCTGCACAGTCTGTTCAGTGCTCACAGTTAAAGTTCTTCCTCATGTCCAGGTGGAACTTCCTGGGCATCAGTTCCTGCCTGTTCCTCTTGTGCCATTGCTGGGCCCCCTCAGCAGATCCTGATCCATCCTCTGCCCCCTCCCTGCAGACCCTACAGACATGGGGGAGGTCCCCTCTCAGTGTCTCCTCTGGAGGCTGAACAGCCCCAGCTCCCTCAGCCTTTCCTGGTGCCAGAGATGCTCCAGTTCCTTCATCACCCTCACAGCCCCCTCTGGACCCGCTCCAGGAGCTCCGTGTCCCTGCTGAGGAGCCAGAGCTGGACCCAGCACTGCAGATGTGCCTCACAGGGCTGAGCAGAGGGGCAGGATCCCCTCCCTGACCTGCTGGGAATGCTCTTCCCATTGCACCCCATGATCCCATTGGCCTCCTTGGCACAAGGACACACTCCTGGCTCAGGAACAGCTCGTTGTCCCCCAGGATCTGGTGGTTGTTCCTCCCCAGGTACAAGCCCCTGCTTTTGCTGAATTTCAGAAGGTTCTTCTCTGCCCATCTCTCCAGCCTGTCCAGGTCCTCCTGGAGGGCCACAAAACCCTCTGAGGTATCAACTGCTCCTCTTAGCTTTGTATAATCCCCAAACTTCTGAGCAGACACCAACCCTTCGTCCAAGTCACCAGACAAAGTTAAACAACATCGGGCCCAGCAATGAACCTTGGGGGACACCACTAGTGACAGGTCTCCAACTGGATCCTGTGTCACTGATTTTGATCCCCTGGGAAGCTTTCATGGTCTTTTCTTTGCCAAGACAACGATTACATTGGGATTTTTATTTAGTGCAGAAAACTAGAGGGCTCTCTCTGTAATTTGGGGTTCAGGCAAGGCATGATGAGCTCAGTGCAGCACAGGCTGAGGGGCAGATAACCTCCAACAGCTCTCAGCCTAATTAAAAGAAAATATAAAATTTCACTGCATGTGATAAAGTTTTCCCTTAATTTTTGAAAGAAAAACAAGGAGTGGGGGGAAAAAAGGGCATCTCTGAGCAGATTGTAGATACTGTCACGAAGCAAAAAATCTCGAGGAAGGCTCCTGCAACGAAGGGTTTGTAGGCAAACTTTGTGTGGAGCTCACACTTTGGGGAAGAGGACACGAGGAGTTTTGGGATATTTAAAGCAAACCAGCAGATTGCAGACGAAAGCAAAGTGTGAAACAGATTGTTGGGTTGCTGGTGCTGTAATTGTCCCCTTCAGCGATCGCAGAGCGCTTCGTCTAATGGCTCTAAAATCAACCAACAAGCTGTGCTGATGGAGGTGTCCGGGAGACTGATGGACTAAAAGCTCTCAGTTCTTCAGAGGAAGTTGTTTTACTAAAGAAAATGTGCAATTTGGCAACATGGATCGGACTGAAGTCAATAGTAGTGGCGAGGGTGTGGAATTATGGGGTGGGAGTGAGATTGGGCAGAACTAATTCATGGAATCACAGGATGGTTTGGGTTGGAAGGCACCTTAAAGATCACCTAGTCCACCCCCTGCCATGGGCAGGGACACCTTCCACTAGACCAGGTTGCTCCAAGCCCCGTCCAACCTGGCCTTGGACACTTCCAGGGATCCAGGGGCAGCCACAGTTTCTCTGCCCAGCCTGGGACAGGGCCTCCCCACCCTCACAGCGAACAATTCCTTCCCAGTATCCCATCTAACCCTGCCCTCTGGCACTGGGAAGCCATTCCCTATGTCCTGTCCCTCCATCCCTTGTCCCCAGTCCCTCTCCAGCTCTCCTGGAGCCCCTTTAGGCCCTAAAAGGGGCTCTCAGCTCTCCCTGGAGCCTTCTCTTCTCCAGGGGAACCCCCCCAGCTCTCCCAGCCTGGCTCCAGAGCAGAGGGGCTCCAGCCCTGGCAGCAGCTCCGGGGCCTCCTCTGGACTCTCTCCACCAGCTCCACGTCCTTGTGCTGTTGTTCCCAGGGCTGGAGCAGCTCTGCAGGGGGGTCTCACCCGAGCACAACAGGGAAAACCAACGGTCCAAGCTGCAATCCAAGCAGCAAATGCCTGAGGGAACATCCTTTCCCTAAGCCCAGCTTGTGGTGTAGCACCAGTCAGGGCACAAAGTTCCCCCCAAAAAATTCAGAATTAATTTGAGAAATAATTGTCCTGTAACCTGAATGTCACTCTCTGCCCCAGGGCCTGGGCCCTGCATATCTAAACTTGGCACGTATCTATCCCCCAACACTTGTTTGGTGCGCTGAAATTTTAATTAAAAGGTTTTTATGATGTTGTAAGGGAGAAAGTGTGGCTTTTCCCCAGCCAGGAGGTTGAGCCTGGCTTTAGAAGCCAGCAGCACTTAACATCAAGAAAGCCCAGAACCTGCCTTGCTCTCACTCCTAATTTCTGAGATTTCAAATAATGAACCTCAATGCTCTTTCAAGCCAACCTTTGCTTTCCAGATGACACAATTAATAGGACAACCTGGGAATATTTTAAATCACTTAGGCCTGAAGAGGATTTTAAAGGCGAAGCGTTTGACAGGCTTACAATGAAATCACATCAAAAAGCCTCTCCTGGAACACAACCCCGGCCTTTAATATTTAAATAGCTGCAAACTCTGAACCTGCACAACTTTCATGTGCACTGAGTTTGATTTTTATTCCATATCACAGAATCACAGGATGGTTTGGGTTGGAAAGGACTTTAAAGCCCATCCAGTTCCAAACCCCTGCCATGGGCAGGGACACCTTCCACTAGCCCAGGCTGCTCCAACCTGGCCTTGGACACTTCCAGGGATCCAGGGGCAGCCACAGCTTCTCTGACCAACCGGGGTCAGGGCCTGCCCACCCTCACAGCCAGCAATTCCTTCCCAATATCTCATCTAACCCTGCCTTCTGGCACTGGGAAGCCATTCCCTGTGTCCTGTCCCTCCATCCCTTGTCCCCAGTCCTTCTCCAGCTCTCCTGGAGCCCCTTCAGGCACTGCAAGGGGCTCTCAGGTCTCTCCAGAGCCTTCTCTTCTCCAGGTGAACCGCCCAGCTCTCCCAGCCTGTTTCCTTAGGGAAGATGCTCCAGTTCCCTTATCAATTTTGTGGCCTCCCCTGGACTTGCTCCAACAGTTCCACATCCTTCTTATGTTGGGGGCACCAGAAACCATTCCATGATTCCCAGAATGGTTTGGG